TGAGTTAATCTTCAATTTTCTGAAGAGGAATTGTCCTCAGTCAAAACAAAAGTCATTGGTACACTGCTCTCAAATATTGTGCTCTGATATAAAGATTGCAAGTTGCTGATTTCCTTTGGTGCTTTTTTCTGCCTCAGAAGTATAAATTAATAGCTTTGCATGGTTGACATTTAATAAAGGATGAGAAATGAAGGATGTGCTTCCCCTTCCGCAAAGCAAATCCAGAATAAAACCCCTTAAGCTTGTTTTCCTTCTGGGTCAAGACCATACAGACTGGTGAGATGCTCTAATCCAATTGCCCTAAAAGTTGATGATATTGTGGACCAAAATCATACTAATTACAATCGTCTTGTAAATACACCTACGCTGATTTTCTTATTTCAATGTATAATGGAATTTGTTCCTACAGGTTAAAAAAAAAAGTTCTCCAACCAGCAATTTTGATTCAGCTACCTTTAACCATGAATAATCTAAATTGCTTTCATTTGAAAAAATACAAAGAGCTTCCCAACTTCAAAAGATAACCCTTTCCAACTTACACTAAACAGATTATAACAATTTCTCACTTTTGAATGATTTGTGTTGGGCTGTTTCTGAACCAGAGTGGCCCCAGAAAATGAAGAACAGCAAGGAAGCTGGGATCTGGGTACTTCTGCCTAATACATGATTCCTCCGTAAGGATATTTGTGCCAGGACTTCCTCAGAACCACATTGCTGTGTAAAACTGCTCTTATCTATTTCTCATTTTCCTTCCTTCTCCCTCCACTGGTAGAGATACCGAAAGTGCATGTTGAGTGAATATTTTATTTTGATTGGGAGGGGCGCTTTTTGTTTTATGTTTGTTTATGTTTGTTTTATTGTCCTAAAGACATCTCTTGCAATTCTAATGGCATTTAAGGATTATCCCTCTAGATAACTGAATTAACATCTCCAGCTCTAGTAACTATTGATCTGGTTGTCGATGAGATTTGTCTCTCCAGGATTTAAGTGAGTTATCAGTTGTTCCAGTGTTCTTTCACACAGCATGATAATCAGATGCTCATTTCATTTTTATTGCAAAGCAGTATTCCATTGTATGATTATAGTAGGGGATTGTATTATTAAAAAGCTGCATACTGGCCCTTGTTTATTATCAATTAGAGCTTAAGAGTAAAGTTCCCATGAACAATACAAGTCACTGTACAGAAACATCATATATTTCCATTATCCTTGGGTCACTACTGTGGAGAATCGCTGCCTCTGATAAAGTGTATATTCAATTTTATAGAAAACTGAATTATTGCCCAAAGTTTTTGTGACATTTTATTATCTCACCCAAGTATCTGAGGATCCTAGTTCTATTACATTCTTAACACACTGATAATAATGGTCTCTTTACTTTCACCTGCCATGGAATAAAGAATCTAATTTTGTCTTCCATTGTATTTCCCTAATGACCAATAATTTTAAGCATTATATTTCTTTTATACAGTTAAGAATCTTCTTTACTGAGTTGGGCAAATTCTTTATATATATTCATCATGTAAATTCTTTGCCATATAGTTTGTTTATATTCTCTCCCTACCATATCTTGCCTTTTTAATTTACTGATTTCTTTTGAAATCATGCCATGTTTCATAGGAGATAGTAGTGTGGACTTTCATATTCCATTTATTTATTTTTTAAAAAGATTTATTCACTCATATTGCAAAGTCAGATAGATATATTGAGAGGAGGAGAAACATGAAGAACTTTTGTCCGATGATTCACTCCCCAAGTAACCACAATGACCGCTACTGCGCCAATCCAAAGCCAGGAGCCAGGAACTTCCTCCAAGTCTCCCATGCAGGTGCAGGGTCCTAAGGCTTTGGGCCATCCTCCACTGCTTTCCCAGGCCACAAGCAGGGAACTGGATGGGAACCAGGACTGTCAGGATTAGAACCAGCACCCATATGGGATCCCTGCATGTTCAAGGCGAGGACTTTAGCCACTAGGCCACCGTGCTGGGCCCTCCATTTATTGATATACATGAGGATGGAAAATTACAGTACAAAGTTATAGGAGATGTTTCCCAGAGTGTCACTGTTCAATCCCTACCTTGTCAGTTAGGAAATCATGGTCACAAGAGTCATACTGTACCTTCACAGCTTGAGATGGCCCTTGTTATCTCCAGTATCTCTCCTCTAACATTCTCTCTCCCCCTTCTTTCTTTTGATCTCACATTAAACCTACATCCCCTGCTCATATCCCATTTATGCCTAGTGGTGAAATGGTAACCATGGTTCCAATGTCTCTGAAGCTGTCATATTATTCCCTGTATTTAACCATGTGCAAGCTTTCATAATTAGCCCCTTCATATAGTCTCCTGAAATTACCTGATTTCTGCTCACCATCTGCTGCCTAAAAGAATTATAATTGATATAATTGATACATGGTGAGGATATATAAAAACATTTACAGAGAGACAAAATAGCATAGAGATTTTTTTGAAATATCAGCTCTAAATATTAGGAACTTCAGTGAATACTGCTTTATAATAATCACTTATTGATATTTTATTTTTTTTACAACTTGGGTTGGCCAGTGAAAGTCAGCTACGAATAACTAGATCATTAAAAGATACTTACTTGCCCCTATTGGTCTCATGTAAATTTGAGATATGAATTTATTACAAGGTGGCATGTTAGTAGAACTGTAAAATAGCACTGCATTCAAGTAAAGATATTAGGATTGCAATGAAATGAGACTGGGTCTGTAGGATGCATAGGAGGGAAACGGGAACCTGTTTCTGTATTTTGTTGTCTCGCTGAAGAAATAAGCAGTGAGGTAAAAATAGTTGTTTATATGTTCATTTACTCATGGATTCCTCATGGACTCAATCAACTTGGGGGGTCTTACTACTTCGGAGGGGTATTGACTGAGTTACAGACTATGGAAGATTCAAGAGTGGGTAAATATGAACTTAAGCTGAGGATGATGAAGCAGTGAAATTTGTAAGTGAAAATGGAATGCTAAATCGCAAAGGTCACAGAGAATATTTCCTCACTGCCTTAGCAAGGGGCCATATAATGGGCCCACAATAATTATGTATCGGATGTGTGGTTAAATAACATGGGAAGGAAGGAAGGATGAGTAAGTCTTACAGCTGCGTGACAGAGCAGTGTGGAAGCAGTCAGTGGCACACACTTTCCTGAGTTTCTCATTGCACTCCTAGCATATTCTTATCTACATCCATCTTCAGCGACCAAACAAAATGTTAAGGACTCTATTCACACTAACTTCAAAATGAATACATTAATTAAGGATTATTTTGAAATATTAATAGTTTCCTCACAAATTCTAATTTCAGTATGTTATGGCCAATCTTACTAAAGTAGAACATTCCGATAATGGGTAGGATAGTAGGAGTGTGGTGCTACAAGTGCATTAAATCTGTGCTTTATGTCTTTTCAGTAGACTATACTTCAAAAGAAGCTTTAGGTCCACAGAATAATGTCACAGGAAATACGCAGTTCCCCTCCACCACCTTCCCCTCAGTTTTCCAATCCCACTATTACCATCTTGCAATAGTATGATATATTACTAATACTGATGAACCAATGTGACACATTGTAACTGACATGCACCATTTACTTCAGAGTTCTTTGTGTTGTATACAGCTGTGGGTTTTAACAAAACCATTACTATCTTGTACCCATCATTACAGTGTCAAAGAGAATAATTTTACTGCCTTAAATATAACTTGGACTCCACTAATTCATTCCTACGTCATTCCACATGGCCCTCGGAGCCACAGAATTTTTCTTGTTTCCTCAGCTTTATCCTTTTTATAATGTTATATAATTGGAATCATGCTATATGTATCCCTTTTAGATTGGCTTATTTTACTTTGAAATATGTATTTAAGCTGCTTCCATGTGTTTTTGTAGTTTGATAGCTCATTTCTTTATATCACTGAATAATATTCCATTAAGTGGCTATGCCACATTTGTTTATCCAATCACCTATTTAAGAACACGTTGTCTGCTTCCAAGTTTTGGAAACTATGAATAAAGCTGTTATAAACATCCCGGAGCAGGTTTCTATGCAGGCATAAGTTTCCAATTCATTTGGGTAAGTAGCAAGAGCATGATGGTTTGATCATATGGTTTTGCTTTGTTAAGAAGCTGCCAGACTACTTTTCAAAGACTCTGGACCATTTTGTAGCCCCACCAAAGAGAGTGCCTGTTGCTCCACATTTGTACCAGCATGTGGTACTGTTAGTGCTTTGGTGCCTTTCAGGCAGATAATAAACATGCAATCAGCTTTACAATGATTTAGATATGTGGAGGCTCTACTTTTCCATTGCTAAAGAAATATGTTGAGACTGGAGATACTTCATATGTCAAAAAAACACCCTTCTATGTAATTAAATTCTTAAAAACCTACTAACATGCTTTACATGTACAGTTTTGTGGGACATATGCATTATTTGATTGCATATATGGAAGGATCAAACAGGCAATCAGCATCTCTACCTTCCCATCCAAACTCCCATGTTTCACAGCATTCCAGCTCCTCTTCCTTTCAAGGTCCATTTTCACATTTGTACTAAACATAAAAGTTTTGCAAATATTTACCCATAAGTCACTGTTGGCAACTTAATTGTTAGCAATTCTGGGCACAATTCTGAAACAGAGATGCATGAAATTATTGAAACATTGGGAATTTTCCTGGATGATGTAATTGTTCCTAAAAGGCATTGGGGTAATCAATGAAGTTGAAATTAGCTGATTTCAGTTTATTGCTTTTAATTCACTCAACAGTCATGGGACTATGGTTCAACTGAGTGTTGAAGGCTTTAGACATTAAATTATCTGAAATTTAGAAGTCAATATTTTTCATGCACTTTCGCATGAACCTGCTTTAAATACTAACACAGTTACTAATACTAATCATAAGAATTTGGTTGTGGTATGTATTTGAAATCATGAAGAGAACTTGAAAATCACAAAGCACTATGTAAATGGTAAAGTCATATCATATCAGTTATAATATTTACTGTAAAGAGTTTGTACAGTTTGGCAGATAAGCCTACAGGCAAGCAAATTGCCATTTAATGAGCACTGGAGGTGAGGTACATCAGAACCAAGGAGGAACAGGACAAAGTCATGTTCTTTGGCGAAAGTTCAGAGATTACAGTTTATCCATGTAACCACTACATTTCTAAGACATGAATATCATTATTCTCACTTCATACAGATGATCATTCTAACTGAATAATGATGCAGGTTTTTCATGATCACAAAGATAGTATAATTCCAGTCACAGAAAATTGGAGAAAACTATGGATCTTTAGGGGTCATTTTTAGAGTTCAGGTTTTTAGAAATCAAAATACACCACACACAGTCAAGGACCCCATGACTTACTGATGCTACTAACATATGGGATCTCTTTGAACAGGGACCCATATGCACAGGATTCCTATTGACTCAAGAATTAGTTGTACACCCCATCACTGGGCTCAAAGTTCTATTTTATTCATTTTTTCTTTTGGGAAAAAAAAAGGAATACAACAGTCACCCTGTTCTTTCTGTGACCTTCAGAACCATGTAAGATTGAGTGCAGTATTGAGAAAAACCTGTGGCAGATTTAGTGTCCTCTGTTTTACCTTCAGGATCTCCCAGAAAAGACTTGGAATGATTCCAGCTGAGGAGAAGAAGACATTGAGCTAGTATCTGAAACCATCTGAGGATCGATTCCTTTAGCTTTTCTCACATTTAAGATGGGAATGAGACGAGAGAGAAGTCATAACACTGCTACTCAGAGATGCTGTGTTTCTTTCTCCTATGTTTCTATTCTCCTTTCAGAATATTTCTTACTCATTCTTGTATCTTGCATTTTCTCTTAGTAGGTTGCATGGCACAATTCATTACATTATTTGTTGAATATTACAAGCAACAGAAGATTTATGCTAGAACGTATTAGATTAACTGTGGGCTCATGTATTTTCTTTATTTTGCTATAAGATTGCTCTTAGATTTGTCTCTAGTTTTCTAGATTCATAATTCTAACATTCTGCTGTTTAAGTGTATTACAGCATTGTAGGTATAGGCAAAGGTATAAAATCAAATATCATAATTTATTTTTATTCGAATGGCAGATTTAGAGAGAAGGAAAGACAGAAAGCTCTTCCATCCACTGATCCACCCCCCGTATGGGATGTCAGTGCAGGCAGGTGGAGGATTAGCCACTGTTCTGGGCCTTGTAAGAATTTTATTTGATGGTATCTTAGGTTCACCTTCAACCCTTACTCAAAATGCAATGTTTCAAAAGAGTGAAAATGAAAAATAGAAGTGAATTTCTAGTTTATATTACCAAGGATCTGAAATGGGTAGATAAAAGATAACCAGATCAGTATCTGTACAAAATTACTGACTGGTTCAGCTTGTGTGACATACACATGACTGAAACCCAACAGTGACATTCATGGAAGCAAATGGTAAATGGTTAATATTAGCTACACATATTATAGCAGTGACATTAACTTACGCCACAGTGAAATATGTTAGAAAACAATCTATCTACAATCAGGTAAAACCTCAATTTTTTTTAGTAGAGATTCCAGTAAAGTTTTTGTTTCAAAGGCAAAATACAGAAAAAAAAAATAACCTGTCCATTATTTCACTCCTCAAATGACTGCAGTGGCTGTGCCTGGGACAATGCAAAGCTAGGAAGCAGTAATATTACTTAGGTCTCCTGTGTAGCCATCTACATAGGAGTACATCACCACTGCATCTCAACCTGCACATTAGAACCTAGAATCAGGAAAGGAGCTGGGATGCAAATAATGTTGGAAGCAAGTACTTGACTGACAGGCCAAATGCACACCCTCATTTCAAACATGAAAAACATACGCTCTAAGGTAACAAGTCAATTCTTTAAAAATCTAATAAATCAATATTCTGGAAAGGAACATGTAGAAAATGCATTTAAAATCATTTTCAAAACTGCGGGAGTTGTTCTTAGTAACATAAAAACCAGGTGGATAAACAATTTGGGCAAGAAAAATATAGGATATACTGGAATGAAAATGGGGAAGTATGCACGAAAAACACTAGATGAATACAAATTTTCAACAGCCTATTTTATGAGACTTTCAAAAGTAACTCCAAAAGAATGATGACAACAAAAGCCTTGTATGTTTATTTGGCTAATTCGGCTTCAGTTGAAAGTTTGAGTAGAGACATATGTTTGGCCTAGCAGTTGAGACACCCACATACCTAGCAGAGTGCCTGAGTTCAAGTTCTGGATCTGCTCCAAATTCTAGCTTGAAAGACAAGACTCTGAGAGGCAGCAGGTGTTGGCTGGAGTAATTAGGTTTCTGTCACCTAGGTGGCCAAGAATGAGCTCTGGGACCACTGGTCCTCTGACTGTTGTAGGGATCTGGATAAAGAACCAACAAATGGAAATTCCCTCTGTCTGTCACTCTCTGTGTTTCTCAAAATTAAGCAGGAATCATAATAAAACTAAGATTTATCGAGAACTGAAAATTGGAAGCCAAAATAATTCTATACAAAATATAATCAGTGTATCAAGCAAAATTTGGCTTATAGATTCATATAACTGATTTTCAATATTTTAATATAGTAAAAGGTATTAATTCCAAGAAAATATCCAACACACCTAAGAGGAAAAAAATAAATGAGAATGTTGACCGTCCTTGTGAACCAGAACACACAAGGCACAACACATTCTAAAGCTCTTGTAATTTTACCGTGACACTTGGAAAAATTGCAAGCATGGAAAATAAAAAGAGCTGTGACTCTTTAGCCAACTTTCCCAGATAAATTTCACTGGCATTCAAATATGGAAGATAAATTTTGGATTAAGAAAATAAAAAAAACACAAAGTAAATATTTACAAAATGTACACTTGACAGGAAGTCAGTGGACATTACATATTATGTGGCTGTCAGATAGCAAATGATTCCCTCCAGCAGAGTGATTTCAGGCAAATTCAAATATTATAGCAGGGAAAATATACTTATCTGTAGTTTTTAGGAGACCCCTGGTTTAGTATAAAGATTTACCACATTCAAAGATACCTCTCAAATGAAATTTCCCAGCCAAGACAGGATAACCTGCAGATAAAAATGGTCGCAAAGCCTTTGCTGTGGTCTTGAAATGGAGTGAGTGATCCCTAAAAGCTCAGAAGTTCAACTTTAATCCCCATTGGGAGAGGTTAAGCCAGTAGGAACTGAATCTGACTGGGGTGTTTAAGGGTGGGCTCATTGGGAAGTTATTAGTATTGGATGAAGTCAGCAGGGTGCTCCACATGATGGGCTTTACAGGAAGAGAGAGCATGAGCCCAGATGGCAGACACACATGCACACCACTCTTACTCTGTGATGCCCTGTGTAACCTCCTAGCTCTGACAGCTTCAGGGGCTTCACCAGATGCAGTCTCTTGGCCTTGAACATGAGCCAAAATACACCCCTTTCTTTATAAAGTATTCAGACTCAGCTATTTCATTGTAATCAGGAAAAAGCTGGTGAATATAGCCTTCCTCTTCAATGTTATTCAATAATCAGGGAAAATTACTTAGTACCCAAAAAAAGCAAACTCATTTAAAACATTTCTCTCTGTTCCTAATGAAATCTTTATTATAAAAATGTCCCAAAGAAATCAACAAAGGAGCCTGATGTCTTGGCCAGTGTCTTTGAGACCTCCTCACGGCTGGTAAGTCGTGGCAGTGACAAATGACATTCTATTCTTGCAAGTACTTTCCTGCACATCTCAGCTTGCAACTGAGCACCGTTACGGTCGCTGTAGGGCAAATGCACACTTTATAGCTGTCATCCTGGCACCAAAAGCAGAGGGAGGGGGAACTCCTCTCCCAATTTGCCTAAACATTCCATTTTATCATTCATATTCCAATTACCACAAGAAGGCTGTGAGTGTGTTTGGGTATGAAATGTGGCAAGCTGTCCAGGAAGGCAATGCTTTTCAAAGGAGCAAAGGACCAATGCTGTCGAGAGCAATCAGAAGCCTCCTGCCTTTTTACTCCTAATCTTCCTTTTGGCATCTCATGCTCACCAACTGTGTGATGTTTGGATGCATGTGGTTCTGCCCATCTGTCCAACAGGCATTCTAGGTCATGTGGTTTACAAAGAAGATATTTAACACACTATGAATAACGTATAGCTCTGTGTACCTTTTCAATCTGCACAATTTATCTCATCAGTCTTGAAAACAAATCAGTCTTGTTCTTAAAGATAGCCAGGCCCTGGATGGTAGCAATAGAGAAGGAAAGCATGGTAAGATCAGGGATATGCTGAGAAATCCAGGTAACATGATTAGCTCAAGGACTTCATGAAGGGCATGAAAAGAAACAAACTGAGGGTATGCATGGTCTCTGTGCAAATGTTACCATTTCAAAGCAAGGTGAAATTACGATTTCTTCAGCAGGCAGGGACTACATTTTCAGAGTTCTGGATGTTGGAGCTAGATTTTTTTTTTTTTTGGCATGGATAAACTTATAAAAAAGAAGAAAAAAAAAAACCTCAGAGGTGAGAAGGAGCAAAATGATGCACATTGTGCCATGAGGTCATTGGCAAGTATTTTGAAGACACTTCTCTACACAGGCTAGACTTTATTGAATAATTGGGAGATGCATGACTGAAAAAAGAGGTGAGAAAAGCTGGAGTGTGAATAACAGGATTATCCCCTGAGCCTTGATGCTATAAATAGTGAGCTTCCACTGGCTAATTTTACAGAGCTAATTTGCCTGCTAATGCCTAGATTTCCAGCATAACATATTAAAGAAAGGACTGCCAAAACTCATTTCATAGATCCCAAAGACAGAGATCAGCATAGGTATATTTATAAAATGATAAAACTCTGAGAAGATCAAGAGGATTTCTGAAGAAAATGCTATCAATCGCTCTCATTTCACACATCAGCCAGCATACACACACACACATAAACATGCAACATCAAACTGCCAGCCATGACATAAACCAGTCCCCCACAAAATGAGTGTTTTTGCAGTTTCTTTTTATAAAGGTTTCAATCGGGGTACAATTTCTTTTTTAAAAAAATGGGCTTTATTAGACAGAAAAGCCACTTCATTACCCTAGAAAGAATGAAAGCACAAATATCTGACAGCTGTCAAACTACTTTTTTCCTCCAACAAATACTTTCAGGATATTTATCACATGAAAAATAGGTACTTTGAAGGGCTTTTCCTCTGAAGTGTTCATTTTTTTACACATAATTGACTATATTTTTTAAATCTGAAAATCACAGCAGTTAAGTCTCCATTTGGAACACCCGCATCCCATACAGGAATGCCCAGATCAAGTCCTGGCTTGCTGTGCTTCAGATCCAACTTCCTATTCATATGCTGCCACAGGCATTCAAGTAGTGAACCAGCAGATCAAAGAACTTTCTGTATGCCACTGTCTCTGTCTCCCCCTCTGATTCTCTTTCAAATAAACTTTCTAAAGTATAAAAAAGTAATTTCTAGCTACAATAGAATTCTATTTCCAAATACGTGTATTGGTGATTTAATCATTATTACATTTCATTAAATGTCAGGTCCTCAAATACAGATAAATTCAATATGTGAATCTGAACTTTTGGGATGATCGGGTAGGCTAGTTAAAATGAACAAAAAGTAGTATCAACAAGACGACACTAAAAAGGATTACAAAATAAAAGTGCTGTCCCCAGTTCATTTGTCTAATAGTCCACATACAACAGATGAGGTTACAAAACTACAGTAGAAATAAACTACACTTAAATGCCTACTATTTATACTCATCATGAATGAGCAAATATGAATGAAATGTTGCTCAAAATGGATTAAGAGACTCAAAAATGGATGACAGCCTTTACTACTGCCTAGGAAGGTAAGATGGCTGTTTAGAAGCCGCTGAAAAAATGCAAGTGGGGAATGAGACACTATGAAATAAAATCAGTACATTTAAGTTCTGACAGTGGCAAAGTGCTTAGTCACAGAAACTTTGAATAGCATGAATATTATTAGTAGCCCTTAGTATGATTTTGTTATGAATGTAATGATATTTAATAGATAAAATGTAGCTGAGGAAAGTGGAAGACAATAAAATGACTATATTCTATGACCCAGAAATAGTCCCATGGTTGTGTGGGAGGCCTCTCTATGGTTGCTGCAATGCCTGGGGAGCAGGCTGGCATTTATCAAGGGAGGCCCAGGCTTGTAAACATCTCCAGTGTGTTGTGGAGCAGCTGATAAAGCAGCCTTGGTCAACATCAGCATCCATATGTGTGCTCTTGCAGTCTGGCTAATTCACTTGTGATTCAGTATGCTGCGAAAGCAGCTGAGAATGTCTCAAGGGCTTGGGCCCCTGGCATCCACAGGGGAGAGTCCAGTGAATTTCATGTTTCTTGGTGCCAGTCTGGCCCAATCATGTTTATTGCCGCCATTTGGGGAATAAACTGATAGATGAAGGATCTCTGTCTCTTTTCTCTATCTGTAACTCTGCATTTCAAATAAACAAATATTTCTTTAAAAAAAATACTGCAGCAAAAGGCAATCTTACCTGACAAGCAAAGTGCATCTCACTGAGAAAAATTGAATGCCTTGTATATTAACGAAAATCTGAGCTCCAAGTGTCTTATAAATACATATGCCACATAAAGAATTTTTACTGTTACAGTGTATAAATTCATATTGTTATGAATTGCCCTTTTCACATAATGTAGTGACAGCATCCTTCCACACCACTAATTACTTTTTACATCAACATTTCAATGACTGTTCAGCATATTATTAAATGGTTCAAAAATAACACATTTAGCAAAGTCCCTATTGTTACTGCTAGTATTTTTCTTATTGTGTACTATAATCAACTCTATGCAAAACAGTCCTATGTGCAAGCTTATGATCATTTAAGATCCTAAACATGAAACTGTTGAGTCAAACAGCATGAATAATTAAAGAGCATGAATCATTTCAATGCTTTAAATAAACATTTCCAACTCGTGTTAAAGAGTCACCTGTATCTATTGGTCCCTTAGCTCTATTGTCAGTGATTGATGGACATCCTAAGTCAACTGTTGGAATTGCAAACCAGCATCTGACTGCATTCCCCAGGAATTGGCTGACTCCTTCTCCACCTCTTACCTAGATGGTGCATAAGCCCACAGCTGGAAGACATAAAGCTGGTAACTAACTGTTAGGTAAAAGACCCCTTCATTGTTTTTCTGCAGCAGTGAAGTAGAAAGAGATGTTTCAGGGACAGATATTTGAAGCATTAGCAGACCAACACTTGGGTTTCTGCCCTAGTCTTTCCTGTATGGAGGCGAGTGGTGACTCCTGAGGATCAGTGTAATCTGGAAGCAGCAGTCATCTGCCTCTTACTCCACCGTGGCATTCAGTCTCAGGAAGACCTGCAGGGTCTGCCAACAGTCTGAGCCCACAACCACACAGACCTGGGGACTGATGCACCAAGCTGGAGAACTGAAGATCAGCCTGACAATCCCTGTCCACCTGGTTCCTGAGACCCGAGTCTGGTGTGCTGGTGTGCAGGAATCCCCATATTTCCGATGGGCTCAGATCAGGTGTGGGAACGAAGAACAGGTGGAGCTTGGTTGACAAAAATGTAAAGGACAGAGTCCTGACAGGATAATGGTTGCCCTCTTGGCCCTTAATGTCTGGTGGATGGGTTGGGGGGCGGGGGGGTGTTACAGAGTTGGCACATTTAGAGCCTAGAATGTGTGCCACTAGAGTGTCACCCAGGACATTAAGGGTCATCCAGTGTGAGATGAAAAACAGAGCCCAATAATGCAAGGATATTTCTGTTCTCACTCCTTTTCCATCTTTGTACGATACAATCAGAAATTTCAAGTGAATTTGAGGAAAGCAGACTCTGAATTCCAATGTGGGGTTATTTCTGCTCTTGAACTGTCTCCATTCTAGAATGTTCTGGCATGGATATTAACATGATGATAAACTCTGCTTTTCTCACCTGCCCTCCGGTCTGAGAGAAAAAGACTGAGAAGACACAGCAGCAGTCCTTATGGCTACAGTTGATTTAAGCCTGCCCACCCAGCTCACCAGGGATCTTTGCTAAAAATCTCCTAAGCACAGCCAGTACAATGGCTAAGGAAGAAAAGAGTCTCATGCAGGATGGTGAATTCTAATTATCTTTCTGCCTGTCTTTATTCCAGGATCTAAAACAAGCCATTATTTTAAAAAAGAAAGGAGGGATGGAAGGGATAGTTTTAGTCTAATTGAGTATCCCAATTTGTGTTTCATTGAGCATTTAGAACTTTCCTGTATGGGGGATGGGATACATCAAAGAGGCACTAGGAAATGCAGAAGCGACATCCCTAACACACCAATAGGGACACTAAGACTTCTTTTCTGGTTTTAAGAGATGAAATTGCTTAACTTTGTTTATTCTAATATTTCGCACAGTAGTTGAGCATAGAAGCTTTAAATGATATCATGTGTGCAATGGTCAATGAAACCACGTGACTCCAAAGAAATCAGAGTAAAAGTTACAAAGTGTGACTTCAAATTATTTAACTAAATGAAGTGGCATATTCGATGAAACCACTCCTCTGCATTAACACTATTTACTTATTTAATATCACCGAACCTGAAACAAAATGAGTCAGGCCTTCTATAATTATCCACTATATGTAACTCAGCTCTTAGAGAAAGTGCTACCTTTTCTTAGCAAACATGTTATCAATGTATAATGCATTACAGCTTATTTCTTATCTCTCATGTGCATTTTCTCATCACCTTCATGCCCAGAGCAGGTGGCTGACCCGCTACAGATAAGAAGCCTTAGTTAAAGAGTTAAATGAGTTGCCAGTGGTCTGGCAATGAGTAACAGAATTAACTAGTCTAAAATTCAAACCATCAAACACAGACTTCAAAATTCTGAACTCACTGAATTCATCAGAGAAAACTATTCTGAAATGAGATGACACCATTCGTCATACAGAAAGTGGGACAAGGCTGACTTCATGTCCTTCACAGAAAGTCCATGCCCCTCTACCACCCTATGATTTTCCTCATGTTCAACCAAATTAAAGGATGCAGGTGAAGCAGGGATCCAATGTGAAGGGAAACGCCAACTGGCCATCACTGTAGGCCACACAAGGGATGAAGGGTAAACTAGCACAGTTGTGATTGGCTTTGTCTCAAACTCCAGCAGAAGCTAATTTCTCTTTCCAAGAACACTTTGGAAGTACTACTACTATAATAGTAGTTGTGTGTATTTAGTA